GCAACGACCACTTATACTCTAACAATTTCTTTTCTCGCACTTCCTGTTTGTGAAGTTACCTTCCTGATAACTACAATCTTCAAAATTTTAAATGCAGCGTCAATCGTCATCTCCTATTCCGTTTATCTTTTGTCATTTCTTCACTCCCTCTTATACCCAGGCTTTTCACGCCCTGTAAGCCATCCACTGCATACTAGTGGCATTCCCGCCTTTCTTAGGGTGAAATGATTTAAAATATGTTAAAAAATTACCACTAAATTTTAAATTTACTATAGTTACCGATCTTATTTTATGATAATTTCCTCTATGGACGTCCATATTTTAAAAAAATTGGAACGTTTACACACAGGCAAATTCTTTTTAAAATACTGATGCATACTTTGGCATAGGCTCGTCCGGGTCCCTCTATGCTCAAAGGCAGTGCGTTCGACACGGCAAGAGCTTCCCACGCTGGCAGCTCAGGCTGACAGCTAACGCTGACAGCTTAGACAGCATATTACGATATTTACCTGCCTCCCCACAAGGTAGGATGCGGCACAAGGCCAAATTTAATGTGGGGAAATCCGAGCTACACGAGCTACAGTATCTGTCTACACGTTATGTCTTCTATATCATAAGAGTTCCCGGAGAAATCAGTTGGCACGATTCATGGACGGCTCGAGAAATTGGTAGCGAAATCTGGTGCGCATATTGAATTTTAAATACAATCTCATGCTAAACGCTTTCCTCTCATATCGATTTCTTGTAAAAGTTATTATTAATCAATAAAGCATTTTAAAACATGGAGTTACTTTTCGATCACCCAGTATATATATATATATATATATATATATATATATATATATATATATATATAATTATTTATTTAAAATGTGATTCCATTGCTACATAAGAGTTCTCATGTTTCAAAACAAGAGATAAAAAACTTCAATATAATTATTTGAATTAAAGTACCAAGCTCTGTTCCATCTTCAAAGTGTTTAAAGCTTTTTATTATATTCTTACTCTGTCCTGGACATTGAGTTCTACCTGGATTTTATCCTCTTGGAAACTTTTTATATATATATATATGTGTGTGTGTGTGTGTGTGTATGTATGTATGTATATATATTTAAAATATATATATATATATATATGTGTGTGTGTGTGTGTGTGTGTGTGTGTATTGACCACTAATATTATTAATATATCTATCTATCTATCTATCTATCTCTCTCTCTCTCTCTCTCTATATATATATATATATATATATATATATATAAAATACGCAAGGCAAAAAATAGGCGCATTTATAGCTATAGAAAGTTGATTTTTGAACTTGTACCGAGACAAGTGAGTAATAGACTTCGTTTATTAATACAGGGTCTTAATACAGGTATACATATGTACATTACAGAAGTCACACACGGATTTTTTTTCTTGGCCAACCTTTTGCTTTAATAACGGCAAAGTAATTCTTCGAGGCATGCTATAGACTAAATTCGTTCGCTAGATCTATCCAAGATTCCTTTAATTCGCGAAAAAATTCACGGACACGCTTGTCATTATCGCCCAAAGATTTTCACTTGGGTTATCGTCAGTTTAGTATTTAAGGCAGTATACATAGAATCCTTATCGTTACGAAATCACTTTTTGACTTGTATAATGTACATATGTACACTTGTATTAATAAACGAATTCTGTTACTCATTTGTCTTGGAAAAACTACAAAAATCAGCTTTCTATCGATGCGTCCATTTTTTTGCCTCGTGCTGTATACAAACATTCATAAACAGGTTCGGGGTTTTTGTATATTATTTGAATTGTTCGCGACGATGGATTTCTCGCCAATTAAATCATTAACCTTTGTATTTGTTTTTGTATGAATAATTCATGAATTTGTAAATTAATTGCACCTTTATTGAAATATATATATATATATATATATATATATATGTGTGTGTGTGTGTGTGTGTGTGTGTGTGTGTGTGTGTGTGTGTGTATTTAGGCAGCAAATTCTCTTTTAGGCATGTCTGATTGAATAAATTACGGACAATATGCCTGCTAATTTTACAACGCTGAATTGAAAACCGTGAAAAAGTCAAAAAGTCAGCCATAATCACTTACGTTCTGAAGCCACGTCTTCTGTGTACCTTGTCCATTCAGGACGTGGACGACCATGGCTTTCTACCACTTCCTATCACAGCTCTAAGCAATATTTATCACCTTTCTATCCCATGTTTGACCATTTATTTACACAAGATCGTTAGTGTTACCCATAATAACATAATGGACTATTCCATACGTAATAAATACTGCGCCTCAAGAGGAAGCAGCGAGTTCAGTCTGAAGTCTGCAGTGAGGTTCGTCAGGAGTCTGTCAGTCAGAGCGAGCGAGTCAGTCAGTCGAATCGGAGGCAGTCCGAAACAGAGTCGCTTTCAGACAATTACTGCAAGACATTGGAATAGTGATACTGGTCGAGACTACATTGTTCTCTCTACTAAACCTGATTGTTCATACTAACACATCTACTTCTCTGTATATATTCCTGTTTGTAATATATCTGTGTTATTCCATACCTGTGTTCGAGTTCTTCTTTATTGGTTCTACCTTGGACTATCACCGTGGTACAAGGAACCGGACCATAATAGTTAGGGAGGTTAGTCGTTTTTTTTTTTTTTTTTTTTTATATCTGCCTCTTGTACTTTTATTATGAGTATCAAATTCTCCAAGCCCTCTTTCTTTTTTAATGAATTTCAGACATTTCAACTCGCTCTTTCTAATTCTAATTACAGGGGCACTATTTGTTTGAGTTTTATTAAAACTTCTATATTCCTTATATGTTCCGTTCATGGCATTATCAGATGCACTTGCAGAACAACATCTATGGCACTTCAATGCCTCTTCCTACGCGAACTGATTGTGCAGTATTCACTGCTACATAGGCGGATTGATATTAAATAGAAGTCCAACACTTTTTCTTTGTTTCATAGAACGTTCATTGATAGAACTACATCTTTGTCGCTTCAGGGTTTATCTTCATCTCTAAGGAAATTGCCCAGCCTCCACTGCCATATAAGCGATGAGATATTATGTAGCAGTTCAGTATACTTTTCTTTGTTTCTAGGGACATTCATCAGTAGAACCACATAACAATACTCACGAATAACCTTCCGTGTATTGATGTTAAAGGATGAGAGAAATGTGCTATAGCTGTTTAAATTTCTTTTATTTTAATTTCCCAAGTACTTTCGATCTTCTTCCAAGATCATCATCAGTGGTGCAAGTAGTGTAAAACTATATGTTGTTCATTAATATAAGTATTTATACAAAGTTGTATGATGCTATCCATTACCGTAATTCTTTTATTATGCTTTTAAATGCAAAACGGTTGACAATTTATTGCATGCGTGACCATAACATTATAATATAGAGAGGAAAAATTCCATAATGGATATTTTTTCACATTCTAATGAGCGCTCAGTACAAGGTTATTCTTGAGAATGAACGGATTTTCTTAAAAATTAGCAGACATAATGTCTGTAATTTATTCAATCAGACATATATATATAAATTTTTTGTTTAAAAATATGATTCCTTCGCTACATAAGAGTTCTCATGTTTCAAAAACGAGAGCCGAAACCATCGAAGTAATTATTAAATATTTAAAGTTGAATTGAGGTGTTTACTCCCGTTTCATCTTCAAGCGAAATTTTAGGAATAAGCTATCTGTCGGTTTACGTGTGTTTTTAGGCATGGTCCGTTACAAAATTCGTTATTGTGGGAGTGGCTAGACTATTTTTCTTCGTTAAGTGGTCAGAGAGTTAATTCTTATCAATAGTTTCATCATCTTCTGAGAGGGTTGGGTAGGGTATCTATTTCAAGGCTAATGTTTGCGGTCATCCTTTAGTTGGTTCCCAGTGAGGGATATTTTTATGGCGCGCCTACAAGTCGTTATGTGTCTGAAGAATTGTCTTTTATTATTGTCCATCTGATTATTTATTTATTTATCTGTTTATTCAAGTGGGTGTTTTATATACAAATCGTATTGCACTGAATTTCAATTTGTTTTTTTTTGTTTTTTTTTGTTTTTTGACGACTACAGAAAGGGTTTTTCTTATTTAATGATTTGGCTAAGCTTTTAAGACTTTTATTTAGCTATGGGATTTTTTTATGCTAATTATTTAATGCAAAAGTTTGTTGATGTCGGCAAAAAACCGTTAACTCCTGCCTATGGTTTAATAATTTTTCATTATTTAGAAATTTAATGATGTGTAGTTTTTCGTGTAGGCATAAATGTCATGGGTCATCCCAGGTTTTACAAGTTCTTACAAGTATAGGATTGGTTTATACGGAATAAATTCCAATAACTAACAGATACAATTCTAAAAAGAGTGTTCAATACAAAGTAGAGCAAATATAATTATTTATTAGAAAATTATAACATAAATATTTTATAAAATCACTACAAAAATAGCCATGCTTTATAGTGTTTTATCAATAGACATGCTTCTGGTACTTTCTCAAGTGATGCTGTCGAATTCAACACCATCATTTGATAAGGCACCAGAAGTGTTGAAACAAAATGGCTATTTTTGTAGTGATTTTATAACATATGTATGTTTTAATTTTAGAATTTATATATATATATATATATATATATATATATATATATATATATATATATATAAATACATGAATTATTCACACAAAACTAATGCAAAAGGTTAATGATTTTAAATGGCGAGACATCCATCTCGCAAACAATTCAAATAGTACACAAAAACCTTAGATCCGTTATGAATGAATTGATCCTTGTTCATATAAATTTCTGCCGTATTAGTTGTTATTTTACACAAGCTTTCGTCTGTTCCTACAGACATCTTCAGGTATATAATAGATGTTGTTCGTGTTTTTTTTCTCTTAGTAATATAATATATAATATATAGTAATATAATATATAATATATAATATTTGTTGAGGGCCCATGTAGCCAGAACGAGAAATTTCTTCAGCCACACCAAGACACACGGGTGTAGAGTCAAAGAAAAACAGCGAAAGGCTACGGCATATTTATTTTCAGGGGCTGGAATCTGTAGATATTTACGCATATTCGCCTCCGAACGTGCTTTGTGTTTGTAAGAGAACATTAAGAAGATAAAGTGTTTAACAAAAAGAAGGAAGAGACAGTGATATTCATGGACCCTAAAAGATTTTGGCCGCGACATGATGCGGCGTGGGGGGGGGGGTAGAGGTCGAGGGGGGGCAGAAATGGATTCGCCATTGTAAAGTGGACGTCGGACGGAAAGAACGGTAAAAAGATGAAAGAGGTTGTATTTTGACGGTGTCGGATATAAAGGGGAAGGTGTGGCGCTACGTAGAATGATGAAAACTGGCGATTCATTCCTGTAAGCTTGGTGGTGACTAAATAAAGCACAAACGCGCACACACACACACAAACAAAAAACACATATATATATATATATATATATATATATATATATATATATATATATATGGATAAATCAATAAGTATATATTACCTAACGTATATACCTGGGTTAGCCTGCATACACAAGAAAGCGAATAAATATTTACAATTATTTATTTACGGTGCTCAATGCGCTTAGACAAAGCTCAGATATACATATATATATATATATATATATATATATATATATATATATATATATATACCCAGGTTCGAAGAGCAACTTATGTTTTGTTGTTCTACCAACTCATCAGATACAAATTATTACTTTTGAGTTTTACTACACACACACACACACACACACACACACACATATATATATATATATATATATATATATATATATGTGTGTGTGTTGTATATATATATATATATATATATAGATAGGTAGATATATTACTATTTATTTACAAAAACAGAGCATTTACTTAAATACATTCTGTATAAAAAATAACGCATATACAAAAAATATATTCAGTGTATATGTATATATATATATATATATATATATATATAGGGTATATTTAAGTAAATGCTCTTTTTTTTAAATAAACACTATTATTTACATTAAAAGGCCTGAATGTTCGAGAAATTTCGTAGAAAATATGCCTTCTTCGACAGGAATTGGACATCTTTCTTATACGGAACCGTCAATTGATCTGACGTGATATAATACTCAGCTACAGAGAAAGCGTCTGGTTAGCTAAGTCAAAATTTCTGTTTATAAACAACAAATTAATTAATAATGTTTATTTAAAAAAAACAGTGCATTCTTCTGAATAATTTGTATCTATTAAAATAACCTTTATACAGAAAATATATTAAATAATTTTCAGACTTAATCCATTTCATAATATGTTGTCAATATTTACGTTAAGGTACTTTTCGTGAGCAGAATTGATCGCTCGGGAAAGATCATCGCTTAGTCTTTGCATATTCTCAGCATTGGAAGAACTCCTGGCTGCCGTATTTTCATTTGCATGGGACTTTCTTTTCCTTGCAGCAGCCTTGGCTGTTTTGATTGCAATCTGTTCCTCTGTTGGCGAAGATTTCTTTTCGCGAGGCATGAATCTATTTTCGGTCTGTATGATGAAATTTATTTGGTCTTGCAAAATATTCCGTCATCCGTGATTGCATTAGATTTTCATCCCGCCCAGGCATTATTGGCTGTCGATTAGTTGTCCTACGACCATTGTCTGCGGTGGACATTACTTCAAGAAAACGTACGAAAATTGTAACGCTTTACGAACAAATTGTTAAGGCTTACCAGTGAGAAAAACAATGTATTATCGACTGGCTTGGAACTCTCCTGATTTAAATCCAATTGAGAATCTGTGGTCAATAAATAAGCAAAGACTCCGTGGAAGTACTAATGTGTGCACTGGATCGTGCTTCATTGGAAAAGTAAGAGAAAAAGAGTCTATGTGTACCATTTTTTTTAAATATAGGGTAAACTGTCTACCATTTTCGCTCTACGACTTTGACTTTGGGATAAACCGGACTAGTATCTACCATTTTGGCCCTCGAGCAAAAGAAATCTCTCTACCTTTTTGACTCAAACCGGATCTTGGCCTAGATTTTTGATTCTAACTCGAACCGGACCTCTGTCTAGATTTTTGACTCGAAACGGACCCTCTGTCTAGATTTTTGACTCTAGGGTAAACCAGAATTGTGTCTACCTTTTTTGTCTTCATGCAAAACAAAACAATGACACTAGGTTAAACCGGAACTATGTTCACCTTTTTCGAGTTGAGGTTATACTGATTCTATGCCTACCTTTTCGTCTCCAGGGTAAACCGAACCTATGTCTACCATTTGAATCTATAAACCGGACCAATTTTTGAATTCGACATTTTTTTTATTGCTTCTAGTATTTCGAAGTGTTAAAAATGTCGGATTAAAATAAAATCCATCAATTCTTTAGAAATTGCTTTGTTTACGTTTGGGTAGATATGGGCTCTCGAGAAAAGAAGTGAAGAGGTTGTACTGTCCTTAAAAAGAGATTATAGAGCCTTGAGACGTTCTTCGTGACCGAGTTGTCTAAAACACGCCGGGTAATCTTTACAATAATGGACGCAGGTTCGAATTGCAACGGGAGAGCATATATTATTTATTTAGCTTTATCGAGTGCGTAGGCTGGTAGTCGTAATAAAAAAACGAAAAAAAAAATACGCCATCTATTTCAAACAGGCGTATCCACGAAATCTAATGTTTGAAGTCATTGAAAAGTCGGATTAAAAAGAAAGCCATTAATTCTTTAGAAATACAGAACGAGGCAAAAAATGGACGCACTCATAGAAAGTCGATTTTTGTATTTGTACCAAGACAAGTGAGTAACAAAATTCGTTTATTTAATACAGGGTATTAATACAGGTGCACATATGCACATTACACAAGTCAAAAAATGATTTAGTATTTTTTTTTTTTTGGATAACATTTTGCTTTAATAAAGGCCTTAATTCTTCGTGGCATGCTATTGACTAAATTCTTTAGTAAAACCTTTGGGAGATAATGGACAGGCATGCCCATAATAAGAAGGTTAACACAGAAGAAGATTTTTTTCGCGAATTAAAGAAATGCTGGAAAAATGTCGCGAAGGACGTTGACTTATGTATGTATAAAGTATTTACCATTTAAGCATTAATATCATATATATATATATATATATATATATATATATATATATATATATATATAGTATTTATTGCCTAGACATAAATATCAATTATTTACATAAAACGTCAATAAACGCCATGCATAGAAATGGAACAAAACCACGCTAAATCTGAAATAGATAATAATAATAATAATAATAATAATAATAACTTCGAAAAAAAGGAAAAATAATCACGACGCACATCCGTGCAGACAAGTGCACGCAAGCGCGCGGACAACCATAGACACGAACAAAGGCAATACAGAAGAAAATTTGCACCAGTGCAACTTGTGTATAAAAAGAAAAAAAATTAGATAATATAAGCAGTAAAATTTTGATAAGCCCTGAAGAGTAGACGCACAGGTCCGTCTACGAAACTCGAATCAGGATGCTGAAGGTAACATCAAACAGCTAAGTGACAAACTCATATATATATATATATATATATATATATATATATATATGTGCGTGTGTGTGTTTGTGTGTGTATGTGTAAAATGTGCAGTTATATATATATATATATATATATATATATATATATATATATATGCAGTTTATATATATTATTTATATATTATATATGCGCGGTACTTTGTGATTTTAAGAATAGCGCACGAGAAATTGACGCACCCATAGAAAGTCGATTTTTGTATTTGTACCAAGACAAGTGAGTAATAGAATTCGTTTATTAATAAAGGGTATTAATTCAGTGGTACATATGTACATTTTAGAAATTAAAAATTATTTAGTATTTTGTTAGGTAACCATTTACTTTAATAACGGCCTTAATTCTTCTTGGAATCCTATAGACTAAATCAACGTCCTTCGACAGATTTTTTCCGGCACTCCTTTTGTTATATACCGTACCTATGATCACTAATGCGTATATCCCAATCTTCATTAATACATTGGACACTATAGTAAGTGGGAGTAAACTGCTGTCTAAGTAGTCCACCACTAGCAGTGGTTTACCTACATCGGGTCGTTGGCGAGTATTGTATTTTGTTGATGTTATAAAGATTACCATTTCATTTCCAACCTCTGTTTTGGTTATTCCTCGTTCAGTAACCCTTTCTACTATAGCCAACTTTCCTATGGGCATCATCGAATGCGACTGGCCGGCCATCATATATATATATATATATATATATATATTTATTTATTTATTTTGAAATGGAAAAAGTCCGAAAATTATTTAAGACATTTTTATGTTTATACATTCTTTTTATAGGTACAAATATTTAAGTAAATGCTTTGTTTTATAATAAACAGTATTAATAACATTTACTGCCCTGAATGTCCGAGAAAATTTCATAGAAAATATTCGTCCTCCGACAGGAATCGAACCTGTATCCTATACGAATAGATAGATAGATAGATAGATAGATAGATAGATAGATATGCACACACACATATAGATAGATCTAAACACATAGATAGATAGATAGATAGATAGATAGATAGATAGATAAAACATAGATAGATAGATAGATAGATAGATAGATAGATACAAAGATAGATAGAAACAGTAAATAGATAATATGCACAAACAAACTGAGATAGATAGATAGATAGATAGATAGATAGATAGATAGATAGATAGATAGATAGGAATACATAGAAGATAGATAGATAGATAGAAAGATAGATAGATAGATGAATGGGAATAGATGGAAACAGAATATGCACAAACTTATGAACATAGATCTGAACAAACTTAGATAGATAGATAGATAGATAGATAGATAGATAGATAGATAGATAGATAAATACGACTGGAAACAAAATGGACGCTGTAAACGGAAGTGGGTATTGAGTAGTAGTAGAAGCAAAGCTAATAAACTGATGATATATGCTCTCACCTTTTCGGATGCTCGCCGAAGAGTTGATGAAAGTGATTGACGTCATTGTCGTCATCATCATGAAAATCACACCATCCATTTTGGAAAGGCTTTTAGCCAGGAAGACATTGAAGACGTTGATTAAATTGGGGAGAAAAGGAAGATGATGGCGCGCAGTATAAGTAACATTGTTAATCTTATCTTAACAAGGATGGCATGGAAGGTGAAAAAAGAAAAAGAAAAAAGAAAATAAGCAAAAGAATAGCGAAGACTATGACGAGAATGTGGACAGTGACAGTATTAACGGGTCTCAAGGAACGGGTATGTGAGGCATAAGTGACAAGAAGTGACTTGGTGTGGCCAGCCAAATCGAGAGGCTGACGTAGGTTGGGGGAGGTGTCGCTTGTTTCTGTGCAGCGGAGATGAAAACGCATTTGACCAGCGTAATGGCGGAAGGCGAAGTCACACGAGAAATTGTGCCAAAATCACGTATTTGCTTTGTTTCAGTTGCGCGTCCGTTAATTTCGTTCTCTTTGGGCGCTTCTGACTTTTACTAAAAACACGTTTCTTGGCCGGGGCACTTCTCAGTGAGTAAGTTATGTTTTTATTTCCCCCCTTTTTTTTTCTTTTTGAATCACTCTTTCTATCTCTATCTATCTCTTTCTATCTCACAATCTTTCTTTCTATCTATTTATACTCTCTCTCTCTCTCTCTCTTTCATTCTGTTTCTTTTACTGTTCTTCCCTTTTTTCCTCGTTTTCTTTGCTTTTTTTCATTTCTTATTGTCATTTTCTTTTTCAGTTTCTGCGTTCAGCTGCTTTTCTTCTTTCTCTCTTTCTATATCACAATCTTTCTTTCTATCTATTTATACGCTCTCTCTCTCTCTCTCTCTCTCTCTCTCTCTCTATTCCATTCTGTTTCTTTTACTGTTCTTCCCTTTTTTGCTCGTTTTCTTTCCTTTTTTTTACATTCCTTATTATTGTCACTTTCTTCCATCTTTCTTTTTCACTTTCTGCGTTCAGCTGCTTTTCTTCTTTCTCTATTTTCTTTTCTTTCCCCTTTACTCTCACTCACTCTTCCCTCTTTCTATTCTTCCTTTACAGTCTCGTTTTCGTTCTCTCTCATCCACTCCTCTGTTTTACTCTTTCTTTCCTTACCTTCTTCTCTTTTTCTTTCGCTCTCTCGCACGCTCTTGTTCATTTCTGCAAATTTCTTCTCTTTTTCCATCTCTTTAACTCCTCCTCCTTCCTTTTCTTTTTTCCCAATCTTCTTCTTTTTTCCTCCTCCTCATTCTTCTCCTTTTTTCGCCTATTTCTTTCTTTCTTTTTTTTTTTCGTTCTCTCTCGTTCATTCTTCGCTTTTCTCTAATTTCCTTCTCTTTCACTCACACTTTCCCTTTCACCCTATTTTCTCCTCTCTCATTCGTCTCCTCTTTTCCTTTTTTTCTTCTTTCTTTCCTTCTCTCTCATTTCCGTTTTTTTTTTCCTATTTTCTTCATTTGTACTATCTCTTTCACTCACTGTTCATTCTTTTTTTTCTATTTTCTTTTCTTTTTCCTTCCCTCTCGTTCACACTTCTGCCTTTTCCTCCTTTCCTTATTTTCTTCTTATTTGCTTCTCTCTCCATCACTCTTCCGTCTTTTCTCTCTTTCTCAATTTTCTTCTCCCTTTCCTTCTCTAACTCTCTCTTCTGTCTTTCTATTTTTCCTTTCCTTCGTTGTTTTATCCCTTCTTTATTTTTCTATTTTTCATTCCTTCATGAATTCATTCATTCTTCTTGAGACTCTTTCCTATAATAATATAATCAAATTCTCTTTCTAACCTTTCTTTTTTTATTCTTTATTCTCTTTTTTCACTCTTTCTTCCTCCCTCTTTATTACTCTTTGTCTTTTCCTATCTTTCCTTATTTTGCCTCCTCTCCATTTTTTTCACCCTTTGTCCTTTCCATTTCTTTGTTTGTCTCTTTCTTTTTATTTTATACTAATCTTTTTTTTTCCTTTCCTTCCTTCTCTTCTTTTTTCTTTCTTTTTTTCTTTTTCTTATTCTTTCTTTTTTTCCACTTCAAAACCCGATCTTTCCCTATATTCTACCTTGTCTTTTCTTTACTTAACTATTCTTTATTCCTCCTCTTTCCTTTTCCTATTAATTATCTCTCCCTCTCTCTCATTATATATATATATATATATATATATATATATATTTTGCAATGAATCATTCATACAAAGAGTAGATTAATAAAGTTAATGATATAAAATGGCGAAACCCTTTAGCAAACAAAATTTTAAAGTTGCATTAACCTACAAATCACTCGATGAATGTTATGATCCTTGTTTTTAATAACTATAAGCTGTATAAGGTCTTTTTTTTAAATATGCAAGTACTTTCAACTGTACATTCAGTCATCCTCAGGCACAGAAATTGTCTTGCTTTTAGTAAAATCCAGGTAGCATTTTTGTATGAATGATTCATTGTAACATAAATTGAACTGCACCACATATTTGATATATATATATATATATATATATATATATATATATATATATATAATTATTTATTAAAGTGATGATGTTGAATGTACAATCTACATTCAACATTATCATTGATAAGACACCAGAGGTGTTGAAACAAAATGGCAATTTTTGTAGGGATTTTATAACATATTTATGTTAGAATTTTTAAATAAGTAATTATATTCGCTCTACTCTGTATTGAGCACCCTTTTAACAATAGTAATTGTTGATTATTGTATCTTATTCCGTATACACCGATCATATCCTCATATATTATATATATAGGTAATAATCCATTGGTATATAATCCAAGTGAATTCTATTAATACAATATAAAATATTAAAATAGATTCGTACATAGAGCTCAATGTTTTAATTAAACAGAGTAGCATATGTCACGCAATACGGAATAAGATTACATATAGGTGACGATCATTATCACCCTGTAAATTTAGATAATTTATAAGGATTGTCAAACCATTTATGGATGATAAATTATTTGGCATTTTTATTTTAATAATTTATCATCCTTTACAAATCCTTGTAAATTATCTCAATTTTCACGGTAATAATGTACATCACCTACATGCAATCTTAATTCCTATAGTATAGAGAGAGAGAGAGAGAGAGAGAGAGAGAGAGAGAGAGATGTATATATATATATATATATTGCTAGAGATATATTAAGGAAATTGTACAAAGCATTCACCAGAAATATTCTAAAATTAGTGCTGCAATACCTAAAAGAGTCGAAACAAAAACACGATGGAAAAATCACCCCACGAATCTCACAACCTCAATCTAAAATCTCAGAACAAAGTTCAAAAGTCCACTAAATGGCATGGAGAAAAACATAACATTCCTAGTTACTGAATGATCTAAAGAAAACTCATAAAATATACATATTAGAATAAGAGAAGGTACCTAGAAAAACGAAGGTACTACCAAAAAATATTATTTAGCGTAAAATCTGCAAATGGCACAACCCTTTCCAAATATATGTGTCACTTGGAAAAGAAAAACGAAAACGCATAAAAAATAACAGAAAATAATAAAAACATCAACAAATTACTATATAAACAGAGACCTTTGCCTAATAGCGACAACGACAATAATATCCTGTTCAGAACAATTTCAACTTCGAAACTAAGATTAGAAATCATTTTTTAAACACAGTGATTGAACATCAACTTCAGACACTAACCCACCGTCTTATGATAGCTTCCTTTTGCCTTTTGTATAAATCTCCATGGTAATTGATCCGATGATCATTCCACTTTTGTCCTTTGACTTCAGGAATTTAAGCGTAGTAGGAAATTATCAGCTAGGTCGCATCCTTTTAATGCTGAAATTGCTAGATGGAACCGTAAGTTCTATGCTAACAGCTTCTTTTCTTGCTTCTGGAACTACAGACTTTTCATCCGTTTTTTTTTTTTTTTTTTGCTTTCTTGCTAACTACGATCTTCAAAAATTAACTGCTTTTGGACAATTTGGATCTTGTTCTTTTATTATCTTATCTCTTCAATAAACGTGCTTACATTCTTGGTAACCCCTTAGATCTTCGTGACATTATCGCCTTACTTGGGCTGAAATGATAATAACATTCAGACACGATAACAAATTACGACAATCTTACCTACAAGCTGACACGTTTCAAAAGACTAAATAACATCCTACAACTTAAACTTAATTTCAGATAACAAAATCTTGAACCGAATATCAGAATTCAGTTTCACCGGTGCAGATGACGTCACCATTAAGTGACTTAAATTTTAATTCAAGCAAACATAAAATGCACTTTGATAAACACACCAGCAATATATATATATATATATATATATATATATATATATATATATATATATATATATATTTAAATTGATTGATTAAATTAAAGTATGAAGGTCTGTTTTATCTTCAAGCAAAATTTTTCGAATCAAGGGAATTGAATTTAAAAATTTCGCTTGAAGAAACTTTAATCCAATTCAATTTTTATAATTAAGTTGAAGTTTTTAGCTCCTGTTTTTGAAACATGAGAACTCTTATGTAGCGATGGAATCATATTTTTAAAAAATAATTAAAACTTTAGGCTCTACTTATGTATTGAGCACTGTTTTTTAAAAAAAACTAAAAAAAAAAAAATACTATTAACCTAACGTGTTCTTTCCTATTTTTCTATATATATTCACACACACACACACACATACATACATATATATATATATATATATATATATATATATATATATATATGTATATGTGTGTGTGTGTGTGTGTGTGTGTGTGTGTGTGTGTGTGTGTGTGTACAGGGTGTAACAGCAAAATTGTCCAAATCGTGCAACAGCATGGGACAATTGTCCATCTCACAAAATGTTTAATTTCTAAAAAAACAAACAAACAAATAAACTAAATGTGTTTATTTTTCTGGGTTTTCAAATAAAACGTTTAGCCATCTTTACACCATGTTTTGTAAGAATCACAAAAAAAAACCTTTGAATTATTCAGCTAGAAAGAGAACAGGTTAAATTCATTCTGTGTCAGCCCGACTAGGTCTTCCAGTCTGAACAATGGTGATACGAAAAAGATGATTCAGGACTTCAGTAATGGTACTAACATTCATAATTTGCTTTCCATCTTCAAAGTCTAGTCAAGAACCATCAAGAGAATGGGGAATAAGTTTAAAAAAGAGGGAACAGTAGAGAGGAAAGCTGAATCAGGAGGTCAAAACAAGAAGAGGGATCATCATTTCAACGTAGAACTAAATACATTCTTATGGTTCAAAATAGTGTCCAATAGGGTAATAAAGACCTCGGAGTATTCCAGTAAGATATCTTTAATCCTTTCTATGATACAACGGTTCAAAGTTTCATCTAACAAATGGACAATTTTGCTGTTACACGATTTGGACAATTTTTCTGTTACACCCGGTATATATATAGTAAGTTGATAAACTATTTCATAAATCCCCGCTACACCGAGTTATATGCGTTGTTACAAAATGACCTGGTGGTATATATACATATATACAAAAACTATATATATATATATATATATATATATATATATATATATATATATATAATATATATATAGTAGTCAACACTTAGAGGCTCTAAGTGTTGACTTCTGTGCTCACTTTTATATTTACACACGCTCTATCTCTGATATTGAGCACTTTATCCCATAAATATAGCACATGAAGACTACATTTCTTCATTCATATATATATATATATATATATATATATATATATATATATATATGAGTGTCTTTGTGTGATAAAAATATATAGTTTTACGGTTTTCACTATTCATGTGTAAAATTGCTCAGTATCAAAGATAGACCTTTTATAAGTATAAAAAGTAGACACTGCGATTAACACAGATTAGCGACAGTCGGTTTCATGCTTGAACGCAATCTTTACGCCTGGAAATTGCAGTCAAGCATAAAACAGAAATTCGGTTTATGGTCTTTCAAGAATATATATACGTCTAAACTCAATTCCTCGAATGATACCCAAACTAGGTTGATCAATCCAGCTAAGTCTGAATTTGGGATAATTTCTAAAAAATATAATTAAAAAATAAAAATTACAGACAAACTATTAATTTCAACTGGTGTCAATCTTTGGAAAGACTCATCGGGTACTATCGGGTACCATCGGGTGGTTCAATAATATGAAGGGGAAAGAAGAATGCTACTTTTATTAAATTCGATATCATCGACTTTTACTCCTCTATTTTTAGTGACCTTTTGAATGATTGCATTAAATTTGCTAAGAACTAAATGGTGATATCCGATGAAGATATAAATATCATATTTGCTTCCAGGGAATCAATTCTATTCTTTAATGACTCTGCCTCAATTAATTGTGGGAGTAACGACTTTGACGTTCCAATGGGGACATATGATTCGGCACAACTAGCTGATCTTGTCTCTACTTACATTTTGGAGATAATTGGTACATTTATTGAACCAAAACTAGTCGGTCTGTATAGAGATGACGGACTCATTTACGTCCTCAATAGTAATGGTCCTCTTACTGTTAAATTACAGAAAAAAAGTCATTAAAGCTTTGAAGTTCCTGGGATTCAAGATAGAGATCACTTCCAATATAAAAATAGTTGATTACCTTGACATCACACTTGAGTAATAATACATTTAAACCTTGCCACAAGGAACACGAAACTCCTAATTATATTAACATTAACTCGAACCAACCCCATACCATCTTGAAGCAGATACCAATTACCATTGGTTCTAGAATCAATAAACTGTCATCTAATAAAGCTATCTTACTTAAACCCAACAAATAGCCATAGTGAAATTAAGAACAGTAATCCACACAAAAGTAGAAAAAAGAAATATTATTTGGTTCACTGCCCCACTTCTGTAAGATTATCTAGAATTAATATTGGACAAATTTTCCTGAAACTTATAAACAAACATTTTCAGAATAACAAACCCCTAGGTAAGATCTTCAATAGAAAAACCATTAAAATAAGTTATTCGTGTCCAAACGACATGTTTAGAGTAATTGACTCGCACAACACGTATATTCTTAACAAATTCAATGGTGTCAACAAGAATTCTAATAAAAAAAAACTTGTATTTGTAGAAATAGCAACCTTTGCCCAGTCGAGGGAAAATGTAGAGCATCTAATGTTATTTATCAAGCCACCATTTACCCTAAAGAAAATAAATGAAATCACCAAGTTTATATTGGGATTTCTGCGGGGGAATGGAAACAAATATTTTATAACCACAGACATTCTTTTTCCAACGTAAGACTAAAACACTACTCTCTCCCAGAAATTTTGGCAATAAAGGGAGAAAGACCTAAATCCTCAAATTGACAGTGAATTTATAGGTTTTTCTCAAACTTCAAATAGCTTTAAGGGTAGATGCAGTTTATGCTTGGAGGAGAAAATTAAAACCATTAAATTTAAAAATCAAGATATTTTACTAAACAAAAGGAATTAATTGCTAACCAAGTGTCGCCATAGGAAAAAAAATCCAAATGACATAATATTATTTCAACCCGACACTCCAAGTATCACCACAGGAACAACTCATATAGTATCTACTGAACCTCGCACACTTCTCTTTCATTTATATTTTTAGATGGGATTTTTTTTCTATTGTGGTATCTTCCCTATATATAATTTTTTTTTCTATATGTGAAATTGTTTTCTATATATGGAATTTCCTTCTATATTTAAATATTTCTCTCTGTTACATGTTTTTTGTGTGTGGAATTTTCTTCTATATATATAAATGTTTTTATAATATTAATATTTTTATATATATTGAATATAAATTTAATCCTTTACGGAAGTTTTAAATTATTAGAATAAGTATGATATGATTTAAATTATAAATTTAGTATTTGAAAATTTATTAATATTATATTGAAATGAGATTTTTTATATTTAAATGAAATTAATATAAAATAATTTAGTCATTTTTTTACTGTAGCTTTTACGAAATAGTTACAAATGTAGTATTGAATGGATTAATATTAACATCTTTTTATAAAAATAAATTTAAATTTATATTAATTTTAAATTCCTACTCCGATTCTATAATAATATTAAACTCCTCTCTAAAATGTTTCATAGCCTTTTTTGTTCATTCTTTTTTCTTGCACAAGTGTCGATAAGTTACGTTTATGTCAGTGTTTATTTTAAACCGTCGCGTTTATCTGTACCCGACTCCACCACAATCACATTAAGTCCCTTAGCCCTCTATCTGAACATAACACCCTTCTCTGTTATAGGCCAATTCTTACTCCCTCTCTTTTTATTCTTTCCTTTTTCTTTTTTCCTTCTCTCCTTCCTTTGCCTTTCAAATTTCTGTGAAGAATTGTGGATTTTATTCATTTAGTGAATGTATTTGCATTATTGATAAATTCAGGAAAACTTCTTTCCCATGGACGAAATGATCATCTGTATGAGGTAAATTGTTTGGATTTCATTCCGCGTCTATATATATATATATATATATATATATATATATATATATATATATATATATATATGTGTGCGTGTGTGTGTGTGTGTGTGTGTGTGTGTGTGTGTGTGTGAGTGCACACGTCTGAGGGAGAGTTTTGTAGATAAAATATCGAATTTGAATATACAGATTGAAGAAAAGAAAGAAAGAAAAAGAAAGAAAGAAAAGAAAAGAAAGAAAGAATTGTTACTGGGCGGCATTAAGAGAATGCACATTAAAATTAGTAGAAAAGAAAGAAAAAAGAAAGAAAGAAAGAAAGAAAGAAAGAAAAAAAGAAAGAAAGAAAATCCAGAAGAAATGAAAAGATGAAATAAATAAAACAGAAGAGGGGAGAAAGAAAGAAAGAAAGAAAGAAAGAAAGAAAGAAAGAAAAAGGCAAAAGAAAAAAGAAAGAAAGAAACGAAGAGAAAGCAAGAAGGGAAACGAAAGAAAGGAAGAAAGACAGAAAAAATAAGAGTGTGTGTTTTGTAAAAAATCAATCGAATTTGTATATACAGTGAGCATGAGGGAATTAATGAAAGAAAGAAAGAAAGAAAAAGAAAGAAGGAAAAAAGAAGGAAAAAAGGGAAAAAGAAGGAAAAAATGGAAAAAGAAATAATAATAAAAGATAGACTGCAGTTGTATAATCATTGGTACACAGGCCATAAAATATTTCATTTAGTATTTTCTATTAAACAAAGTAATATTTATTAGTGTTGAAACTTTGGGTCAAACATGTCGACATTTATAATGTAAAAGTACTGTCAAGCCGGGGCTTGAATGAAAACAACATCAATTCACTGTTCTTTGCGTAAAACTCTGTTTTGTTCAAAAATGGGCTCCATGCCAACATTGTTGAAATTTTGGCAATCATCTCCGCAGAATGCTTATAATTCAAAATATATTTTCAATATCTCCAAATCAAAAATTTCAATGTCCGATCGTTTTTAATGTAATCTCGAGATCCTTATAAATTCGCTCTCTCTTTGTCTAAGTATTTATCTATCTACTTAGGATAAAAATATACAGTTTTTAATGTTAAGAATGTTATATTTATGGGTAGAAGTGCTCAATATCAGAGATAGAGTGGACACTGGGATCAACACCAAGTGGCGACAGACAGTTTCATGATGGCTTTATATTTTTCATCCTATTCATCTATCTATCTATCTATCTATCTATCTCAACTTGATCATTATATATATATATATATATATATATATATATATATATATATATATATATATATATATCTTTCTCTGTACGCTTCAATTCAGTCAAAAGTTTAATATATAATACATATCAATTTTACTGCCTGTATTGGTAATATTTTATTGACTTTTTATTCTTTTCGAATTTTATTAACCGACATATACATCAAATTTATATATATATATATATATATATATATATATATATATATATATATATATATATATATTCTTAAGGTGTATATATTTATGGGATAAAGTGCTCAATATTAGAAATAGAGCGTGTGTAAATATACGTGGCCTGACGATTGTATATAGCATGAAACTGACTGTCGCCTCTAAGTGTTGACTTCTATGTTCACTTTTATATATATATATATATATATATATATATATATATACTAGCAGCATGGCGCGGCTTTGCCCGTGCCTGATTCAAAAATCGTACGACTCATACAGCAATCGCTATCACTTGACTTAAAATATTTTTGCCCGTACTTGCCTTTAAAGGAGTGCCCTTTGCCGTGCTGATGTTGCTATATGCATTACTTTTTGCCTATCTCACACTGCGATTTTTTTCTAAGATCTATACTAAGCATTAAATCTGTTACGAAAAAAGAAATAAACAAAAGGAACACAAAACGATCAGTTTTAAAAAAGGACTCGGAGCTGGAAAAACCGAATGAAAAAAGAATGTTAACAACAAATAGTTTTTCACACCCAACCCAGTTCTGCGGAATCAGAATTAACGTTGAGTTTAAGCAGGCGAATGAGCCAACTGGAGTAAAGTGCCATGCAGATTTAAATTTTTCCCACTTGTGATGAATGCAACTATCGATTTTTTTTGCATGCTATCATGCTAGTTAATATTCGTGTCAGTCAGCTGTTGGCTCTCTCGCTGGCCAATAGAATCTTCCTGCCTATTCGTGGCAGCCAGCTATAGGCTCTCACTCTGGCCAGTGCAAAATGGCCGCAAACTACATGAAAACTGCCGTAGAAGCATGAAAAAAACGATTATTTTCACTATCGATGGGAGTTGGGAAATGCAAAGTCGGTCTTGGCCTTCCCGCTAACTTGGAGCATGGGCATGTAAATCCGTCAAAAATTGCGGCCGTGCATTCGTTACACACACAGACACAGACACACACACAGACACACACAGACACACACACAGACACACACAGACACACACACACACACACAGAGACATCCTGCCGTTTATATATATATATATATATATATATATATATATATACACGAGGTCTGATCAAAAAATATTGAGACTGATACTATAAAAAGAAAACTACAACGCATATCAATTCAGCATTTAATCTCCTGTGAAATAGTCCCTTTCTGAACCCACACACTTTATCCAACGTCGTTTCCATTGAAGAAAGCATTCTGGGAAATCCTTTTTTGGGAGAGAGCCAGAAGATACTTCGTCGAATTCTCATTAAACTTTGGAACTAAAGTCGAATTCTTTTGACGACTTTAAATGAAACGGCGAGATCTGGGGTATATAGTTCTTATCAGACCTGAAGAATGTCGTGCTTATCCAAAAGCTGTAAGGTATTAGCATTCACAGAATGTAAAACACGGCATGGTAGAGTGGGCCGATATCTGAACTGGAAAATGTCCAACATTCAAGGGAAGACAACTGATACGAACATCACGCAGACCCGGTAACAGAGATAAGATATATAACAAATTTATGAGACTTTACATTACAAACAGACAGAACAATCAAGATCTCATCAACTCACAGCAGAGCTACAGTTTCTTATCACGTACTTCTCGCTTGTGGAACTCCCTCTCGTCTCTATGGTTTCCAAACAACTTTAATCTGCAAAAATTTAAATGCAATGTCAATCGCTATCTACTGTACTCCCGATAGCTGTTTTCTCTTTCTCTCATTACTAATGTTTCTGTTCCTAATTCCTCCACAACCCCTTGCGTGCTCTTGGCTGTACAGCCTTGCTTGAGGGTGATACTGATTTTTTAAAAAATCACCCAGATATTGTGATCAAACACCATAAGAACGGGATGTGCTGTCTTATTGATATGGCAGTCTCTCTGTAAAGTTCTTCAAAAAAAAAAAATCTCTGTAAATGTAAGGATATTGAAGTGGAAATCAAAAATATTTGACACGTGAAGACACGATTCATTCCAGATGTAACTGTAGCCCTCGGACTGGTTAGATTAGGTTCTGATTGAACAATTGGATGTATACGTATATCCCCTCTCCATAAATACATACTGTTGCATTATAAGGAACTAGTATACACATATGTATACACATACACACACACATACACACACAAACACACGCACAAACTTCTTATTTTGTGTACTGTTTGCGTGTGGGGAATATATGTATGGATGCACATACAGACAAAAACAAAAACAAATGGAAATAGATCTAAGAATATACAGGATTCATTAAAAAATAAGAATACAGATATCTTTCTCACCCTTTTTTGGACTTTGGACAAATCTTGTTTGATTACCCTTCAAGCAGAATTCTTTCACTGCCAGTTCAAGAAAGACATTTGTGTCACTAACACACAAAAAAGAGACTGTCTAATATCGAGAATATTTAACATCGAAAAACATAAAAATTAATTCCTTTTAATAATATAAGGAAATATCCATTCTTTGCTTGATGAAGGTCACGAGAGCGGAAACACGTGTAGAAAATAAACCATAATATATTCATTAAAAATTCTATATACAGTGTGTGGCAAAATGATCTGACACGTTTGTAGGTTTAATAAAAGCGGAATAGAGTAAAGAATGAAAGATGTGTTTTATTTTCGAAATCTATATTTAATACCATTTTGTTTCCTTTCATTTTCAGTTGCCAATGTCAATAGGATTGAGTGGCATCCTGCTTTCACTGTGGAAATATTTATCAAGAACAACGAAACGGTAACTGAATCACAGAGAACATTAGCCCATCTGATCACCTGATTAGAACCCATACGAGTTTTTTTTTTCAATGGGTATACCTGAAATCAAAGGTATACACGCATCGCCCTTGATCTATTGAACAATTAAAAGAAGCCATTCGTCAAGAAATTGCTGCCATTCGACATGAAATGGCTCGTCGAGTTAGGGACAACATTCGTAAATGCCTTCGACAGTGTGTGGAAAGTAACGGCACCCAATTCACTGATTTAATTTTTAATCAGAAAATGAAATAATTTAACGCCATATCTGGTATCCACATGACAGTCTCGATTTGACGAGGCTAAATAAACAGGTTCGATTCCTGTTGGAGGACACATATCTTCTATGAAATTCCTCGGACATTCAGGCCGTAAATAGTTTTAATACTATTTATTATAAACAGAGCCTTTAAATATTTATATCTATAAGAATAACGTACAAAGAGAAATTAGATTAAAAGTCCATTTCATAATATATGTTGTCATTTGTTTACGTTAAGATCCGCTTCGAACAGATATGAGCGTTCCAGAGAAATCATGGGAAATTTGTAGTTTGAAAACAGTAATCTGACCTTGCTAACCAGACGCTTCCTCTGTAGCGAAATGTTGTAGCACGTCAGGTCATATGACAACATTCGTAAATGCCTTCGACAGTGTGTTGAAAGTAACGACACCCAATTCACTGATTTAAGATTTAAAGACAGATGAAACAAAATGGCATTAAATGTACATTTGGAAAATAAAAACATGTTTCTCGTTCTTTACTCTATATCACATTTAAAAACCTACACACACACACACACACACACACACATATATATATATATATATATATATATATATATATATATATATCAACAAATTCAAATATATATATATATATATTTGAATTTGTAGATCTGATAATTGGATCTTGATTACGATTCCAATTTAATAAATTATAACTATGGAATATTAGTGTTTTGAGCCTTATATATATATATATATATATATATATATATATATATATATATATATATATATATACACCGGGTGTAATATAAAATTGTCCAGCACATGCAACACTAAAATTGTCCAATTTTTATATTAGGTTTGAAGTGTTGTATTTTCGAAATGATTAAAGATATCTTACTGGAATTCTCTGAGGTTTTATTAATCAGTATATTAAACACTATTGGACACTACTTTGATCAATAAGAATGTATAATTACTCTCTAAAGTTAGCAGAAATATCGTGATGAAATCGATCATAAACGAAAATGACATTAATCATAGCTAAGGATCGAAAGCTCATGAAGTGTTGAAATAAAAGTTCATATATATATATATATATATATATATATATATATATATATATATATATGATAATCCTAGGATAGCAAACCTACCTAGGTTTCACCTAAAAGGATCTTCAAGGTAAATCCGGCTTTATCCTGAAGATCCGTTTAGGTGAAACCTAGGTAGGTTTGCCTGGGTCCTAAGGATTATCTTAGTTTATCTCTCTACTTAGCGTACTGAGCACTCTACGTCGTTGTCTTTTAACTCGTTTTGGGATTTTTTTTTCTTTTGATTTGGAATTTATACACTTGACGAATGTTTTCGCCTTATTTTAATGTTCTTAGTTCTTTCTTTTTTATTTCCCATTTTTTCTCGGGTTTCGATTTGTTCTACTGCAAGTTGAGCTATCCGAAGTCTTTCAAACGAGTACTATCATTTATATATATATATATATATATATATATATATATATATATATTCCACATAGGTGAGAAGCATAATAGAAGAAAACTGTCAGCATAGAACTTACGGTTGTATCTAGTCATTTCAGCAGTAAAATGTTGAAACCTTCCCGCCAGTCTAGGAGTACGTCTAAATTTATAAAGTTTATGTACCAAAGAGGGAAGCGCATTAGAATCATTACCGAGAAAATATTTATGAAAAAAGTTACTTTTACGACAGATAACCTATACTATCTGCTTAACACGTCAAACGCACGAGAAGCCTGCTTAACCAATGAAAATCAAACAACACAAAAATAAATTTCTTTGATGATGCATTAATAAAAGTGAAACATGTTCAATTTATAGACGTTTACTATTTCCTAATCCTATCATTCATATATATATATATATATATATATATATATATATATATATATATATATATATATATACTTAATAGCTTGTTGTATGGAATTGAGCACTATTTTACTAACTGTAGCTGTATATGTACGATATATCATAATTATATATATATATATATACACACAAATTTAACAACATAGATAGTATTAATATATAACCCCTCAAATCAGGACCTACCCACATTTCTCAGCCACACAAGACAGACATGCTTTTGGAGATGTTTAGTCCTTACACTTATACACACACCTACACGAATATACACACACTCATTATACTCACTCCCTAATGAGCCAAATGATAACACACACCCACAGCTATATACACGCTTACACATATCATACTCACTCACTCCCTAAGAACCAAATAACACACACACAAACACTAAACAGAGACACATCCCCTTTCCAAGAACCAATAAAACTGTCAAACTGACCACCGGAATTCAGAGAAGCATAGATCCATCCAGCTCTTATCTCAAATAACAACTTAAAAGAGAATGTTTGACCAACACAAGGTCTGACCAAAATTTATGATAAAAATGAAAGACAAATAAAAACTACAGACAAACGTTCATCTTCTTTATCAAGACATTCATTTCTGTAGTTCAGTGGTACCAGCAAGCATAGAATTATTTTTCTCCTGATGATGGCCATGTTGGCCGAAACTAGTCGAGGAATCTAAATGAAATAATAATAAAAACGAAAGAATATTAATATACAACCCAGTGTGTCTGAAGACTTTAATTTTTCAATATTTTTGTTGTTCAATATACATATATATATATATATATATATATATATATAATATATATATATATATATATATATATATATATCAGTCAACACTCAGAGGCAACAGACTTCAATGTCCACTTTTATATTTACGTACGCTCTATCTCGGATATTGAGCATTTTTATCCCATAAATATAACATATCTTAAAACTATATTTTTCATATATATATATATACATATATATGTGTATGTGTGTGTGTGTGTGTGTGTGTGTGTGTGTGTGTGTGTGTGTGTGTGTGTGTGTGTATTGATTGACTTTATATAATCAATATTTATACGCAGAGTCAAATTTGTTTAGTAGACGTTTAGGTGGATTAGTCGCCATAAATGAAAATGGGGGGGGGGAAGAAGCAAAAATCGTCACACACAACAAAATTCTTGTATGCTCAAAGGGATATAGAAAAATAATTTTAAAAAAAAATGCTAAAATAATCAAAATAAAAATGAAATTAAATACAAATATAAAGTTAAATATTTGGCATGAAACGGTTTTGGCAAATCCGCGAAAAATAAATCAATAATGAAGCAAATAATTTATTTACAGACTTCGAGAAAAAAATTTTATTTATCAAATTTAAAAAGTCGTTTGCAATTTTTTCCCTCGATGAACCACACAAGACGCTTGGCCTATATTAAAACGATGGAAGCACATATCCGAGGGGAGGGGACATAAATTTGAATATGACAGAAAATACAAAATAATCAAATACTTCTTTCTTTCTTTCTTTCTTTCAAGTCTATCTATCTATCTATCTATCTATCTATCTATCTATCTATCTATCTATCTATCTGTCTGTCTTATTCTGTTTATCTCTCTATCTATCTATCTATCTATCTATCTATCTATCTATCTATCTATCTATCTGTCTGTCTGTCTGTCTATCTATCTGTCTTATCCTGTTCATATCTATCTATCTATCTATCTATCTATCTATCTATCTATCTATCTATGTTGATATCTGTGACTGGCTATCAAATATGTATCTGTTTTTAGTTCGTTCTCATTCTGTTGATATCTAGTGATATCTTTATCCTTCTCAATCAATGACTTTTCATATCTATCTATCTATCTATCTATCTATCTATCTATCTATCTATCTATCTATCTATCTTATTCTGTTCATATCTGTCTATCAATCTATCTCTGTTCAAATTCATCTGTCTCAATGAATAGACTAAGATATATGTCTCACTCTATATATATATATATATATATATCATTCTATATCAGTCTACTAATATCAATATATCTATTGCAGTCAATTCATTATCTATCTATCTATCTATCTATCTATCTATCTATCTATCTATCTATCTATCTATCTATCTATCTCTGTTCAAGTTTATCTTAATCGATGAATAGACTGAGATATATGTCCCAGTCTATTGATATCTGTCTATCTCAGTCTTCTCATATCTCTATATATATATATCTCAGTCAATTCATATCTATCTATCTATCTATCTATCTATCTATCTATCTATCTATCTATCTATCTATCTATTTATGTTGATATCTATGCCTTGCTACCAGATGAGCGTTTATATATATTCGATCTCATTCTGTTGATATCTATATCTTTATCCTTCTCAATCGATCTCAATCTTTTCATCTCTCTCTCTCTCTCTCTCTCTATATATATATATATATATATATATATATATATATATCTCAGTCTATTCATATCTATTTATCTATATACATAGGCTAATATCTCTCCCCCACTCTATCTATCTATCTATCTATCTATCTATCTATCTATCTATCTATCTATGTCAGTCTATTCATATCTATCTATCTGTCTATCTATCTATCTGTCTATCTATCTATGTCTATTCATATCTATGTCTATTCATATCTATCTATCTATCTATCTATCTATCTATCTATCTATCTGCGTGTGTTTGTGTGTCTCCTTGTTAATGTATGAATATAT